ACGCTGCTCTCTCAGGTCAGCCATCTGAAAAACTGCAAACTCACTGCAACACAACAATGGAAATACATTCACCAACAATAAACCCAACCACTCAACTCGACGTCACTTGCCACACTGATTCAAGAAGGATGTGTGAGGAGACACCTAGCGGTATTTCGATGTACTCATAACCATTCGCGCACAAAATTCAAATTTTGAAAACTTTTGGATTGCCCCACGTATAAAATTTTAAGGGGGATAATAATTTCTTTCTTCCTTTTGTATATCCCTTTGTATATTATCTCCTTTCCTTCTTTCATGTGATTGTCTCTTGTAGAGAAATATCTTTTTTTTTTATCAGTGGTTTCTGTAATGTGCCATTTGGCAGAAACAAGGTGGAGCAGACAAGCGCTGGCTATTATATATAGATACTCAATCTTTAAAGAAATGGGTGCCTTGTTAATATTGTCATGATTTTAGTGACTGTGGGTGGGGTTTGGATTGATAATTGGATTTATTGATCTCCTACAACTCATAACTTCAAGTAAGGGTTATGCTCTCACTGTTCTACACACTTCGCAATTCATTATACAGCACACTAGGTCTTCTCAGTCTCTTACAGTCTTCACTAACTGTTGCTTGGTAGTGGCTTGCAAAGACAGATATTCCCCTTCCTCTGGATTCCTGAACTGCCTCCAGCCTCAGCTACTGGCTTCTCACAACATTCAAACCGCAACAGTTATGTAATTAACTCACTGCAACAACTAACTGGCCCTGCTTATAACACCTAGGCAGGGACTGCACAGAAAACACCATTCCTATGTTGCTGCCTGTGAGCTGCTGTGTAGTTGCTTATTTTGCAGTTGTTGCCTAGCAGTGGGTCTGCATGTTACAATATATTTCCTATCTTTTTGCAGGTATTTCACGGTCCCTAGAGGAAACACAGGAGTATTTGATCCGACTGAGATCCATAATCGAGGCCAATTGAAGAAACATATGAGAGACTGTATGATATATCTGGGATATTATCTTGTCTTTTTCTTCATATATTTGTATTGGTAAGTTTTCATATTATGGTTTCTTTTTCACTTTGCTTCTAGTACTTCTGTATATTCTGTTGTTAAAAGAGGAACCAGAAGCACAGATATGCTAGTTTTACATTATTAGACTGGCTTCTTATTATTTTTATATTGCTGGGAAGAGAACAGAATTTATCATACACAGCACGTTAATTTTTGAACAGACTCTAGGCGAAATAATATTTTGTGGAAGAGGTACCTGAAATGAAGTTGTCAGTGGTTTTCCTGGTATACCAACATACGTGGGTCATTTCATAAATAATGCACAGGTTGGCAACACTGCGGATTAGATGATGCAACAACAGTGAGCCTCACGTCAGTTACAGTTCAGGGCTTGAGAAAGAAGCACATTATTTTGTTTCATTTGTAATATACTCTGTTCTTAAATAATGTGAGTTAGAAATGGAGCCTGCACGGTTCTCGGGTATTGTGACTGTTGAAGATCAAAGGTCGTACATTAAGATCGAAACTTTACGTGGAAAAAAACCCGAGAGACTTGTCGCTATTGATGAAACGTGGGTTAGAGACTTTGAACTGGAGCTGAAATCACAGTCCAACGAGTGGAGAGGTCCATCTTGCCCATGACGAAAAAAAATTTTGACAATCACAATCAAAGGTCAAACAAATGATGATATTTGCTTATGATCACCAAGGAATCTTCATGACAGACAGAGTTCCATGTGGGAAAAGTGTAAGAACCAAGCAGAGTTAAGCACTGTTTAACGCTTTCTCATAAAGACTAACCGGCTAATACTGTAACGCGTATGAGTGAATATAGACTGGGTTTGGATTGATAATCGGATTTATTGCACACTTATAAGACATGCACTAGTGACAAGAAAGTTTTCATTTGGGGTTTTGTCATATTTTAGGTGAAATTGTTATATGAAACAAAAATTACAGTATCCTATGAAGGTTATTGTCCTCTGGGAATGACAGTGTATGGTCTACTAGATCACTACTGCCATTTTTGAGAAACATGCTGCCCATATCTTCAGTTTCTTCTGCCCTGAAGTTGTAGGCACCAAGTTCCTCCAGTACGTCGGTAACAATCTTCTAGACTGCTTGCCATCATATTATAGAAGACAGTAATCTTCAGTGTAACCACCATGAGAACCTTATCATACTTTTTAATTTTATTGTGAATATGGTATTTATAGTAACCACTGTCTATCCCTTTCCTTTCAGCTTAATAATTTCCTTGCTTCAAGGTGACCCATTGCCAAGACATGATGAGCTGATGGAATTCTGAAGAGAACAAACTTATCCTAGTACCAAGGTTTATACCATGTAAGAGACTGAAATCTTGCATCATAGAGTTAAATTTTATGGACATTTCTTGTATATCTTGAATATCAAGAATATGTAAATAACTTTCTCTTTGCACTATATAGATGAACTGTGCAAACTACATAAGAAGAACAGAATGGAATGAAACACTGGCAGTGTTTGCCCAGAATTATCAAGTACTGAATTCTAATGTAAATATTTGTCATTCTTCACTTTCTCCCATAAGAACTTGCCAAATTGTAAGCAACAATTGACAGAAGAAATATAACCTTATGGACTTAAAATTAAATTGTTGTTAAAACAATTTTTGTTTAAATAAAGTTAAACAACAATTCCCTTATTTACTTACATGCTAGCTTACTAGCCCAAAGACCTGTTATGTAGTAAGCAGAAGTAAAAGAAAGAAACAGAACAAACATGAACAAACAAAATACAAAACAAGGCAATTTGTATCACTTAGATCATAATAAGGAGTCCATTGGTATAGTCATATATTATAACAACAACAAATGGTGCTCATATAACTCTTGCTTCTAGTCTAATGTATAATTAATAAGAACTTTGTTGGTCTAAATATATGTGAGAATCTACACGTGTGGCATTTGCCTTTTAATCCATCGTTTCTTCACATATTACATATGTAAATGAGTATGAAATATGTCAAGAAGAGTGTTATTATTATGCAAGTAAGTATAATATGCCACAGATGTGTAATACTCATTTCATTTTAGGCTGTCATAGTACTCATGGCAGCCAAAAGCTGGAGTTTAGAAACTGTTCTCTTTTAATTACGAGTAGCTACACCCAGTCCGCAAATAGGATGAGTTCTGCCAACATGAATTCAATTGAATACGGGTTTTAAGGTAGGACACATTTTTTACTGACGTGATAAGTTTTTCAGTTAAAATGATTTCTCCATGACTTCTTTATTACATTATTTCTTATGAGAAATTTATGCTTGACTAACACAATTTCACCCTACACAAAATATTTCAAGGTTGTGTGTATGTGTAATTTTATGGTGGTGACATAGAATTATCTTATAACCATAATGTTTGTTGTCAGACATTGTGAAGATTGCGGACTTCTAGGATTTGATGCCATTTAGTGTCGTTGATTGTTACCAGATGATCTTCCGGACTACATGGTATGACACCACAGAAGCCAGTAAAATTCACAGTCACTGCTGTGAGAGCCTCAGATTTTTACATTAAAACGTTATGTTTCAAAATGTTTTTACTTGATGTAAATAATGATTAGATTATAACTTGCTTACTTACTCATGGAGCTGAGCCCTTCTGGTGGAGCTGCCAATTCTGCAGCTACTCATGAATTTCCCAGCATTTCATGGAACCCGAAGGTTCATCACTGTGTTCACAAGAGCCCTCCACTGGTCCCTATCCTCAGCCAGATCTATCCAATCCATACTATCCCATCCTATCTCTCTAAGATCTATTCTAATATTGTTCACCCACCTACGCCTTGGTCTTCCCTGTGGTCTCTTTCCTTCTGGCTTTCCCACCAATATCCTATACACATTCCTCGTCTCCCCCATTCGTGCTAATTAGATTACAACTGTGTAATAAAATTATCTTTATATGCACCTTGTAATTCTTGTTACAATAATATTTACTGTATTGCATAATTTTACCATTGAGGTTGGTTAATATACATGTAGGCTGCTGGCTCACCAACCAGATTGAGTAAATTCAAGTCAAATTGAGTTTGAGTAGTTGTTTCTGTTGCTGCAAGCACTTTCTACCTACTACTTTGCATTGTTTTTAAAGAGCACGTTTCTCCAGGGAAAAATAAACAACATTTTTCAAATCTGTCTCAATTTTTCACTATTCATTAATATTATGAAGAAGTTTGTATACTAACAGACCACTTGTGCAAAACAATATTATCTGTTACTGAGAATCATGCTCTAGAATTGCCAGTTTTATATGTACAATAGTGCATCAGTAATGCATAAAGTAAACTGAGAGGTGAGTCAAAAACTTAAAATGATAACAATTTCAGCTTATACATAGACATTTAACATTTTGTGACATTATTTTAACAATATGAAACTAATATGAAGGCCTGTCTTTTGGTACATAATGTATGTGTTGGTCTCATAACTTGCACATAACATTCTTTGAATATATGACAGTGTGAAGAAAGCAGTCTTCTGGGATGTGACACCACGTAGATGTGGTGTTAACCGACGTTTCGGAGGAACATATCGCAGTCTGCTTGTACCGGTTCTCACGGTCTCTTTGCTTGCGAATTTCTTATTTTTCCTTCTGCCCTGAAGATGGAGGCGATATGTTCCTCCAAAACGTTGGTTAACACCACATCTACACAGTGCCACATCCCAGAAGACTGCTTTCTTTATAGTCACTGCCATGAAAACCTCAAATCTTACATATGACAATGTGTTCATCATGTAAGTGTCTCCGTCTGCATGTTAGGGTAACTCTGGCTGTGCATTCGTGTTTCAAACTGTAAGTATCTCAATTGCATATGCACTGTTAACTCAGATTATACATGGATGTCTCAGACGCTTGGTAGCATTTGAGATACAACTCAGGAACCATGGCAGGGTATTGAAGCCATTTCATGTATGTAACTTGAAAAGAAGTTATAATATTTCTCAGCTACAAACATACTGCACTCACGATCTATGTAAGTTTCACTTTTGAATGCATCTTAAAATGAAACAAGCACGCAGATCTGTCACAATTCATTTGCTTTTTGGCAAGCACTGAAATATCTTATATGCATATAAATAGTTTACAAACCACAATTTGGGGACTACAGCTGTAGAACAATCATCAGATCCTTGTTTCCCTCACCACACACTGTTGTACCTCTTTAACCATATTTTGCTCACTGAAACAAAAGTTTGGCCCAATTTTGAGGTCATTAAAACATAAGATGAAATGTTTGAAAAATTTCTGAATCTAAAAGTTATTCATCCATTCATTCATCTGTAATCTGTCAAGACGACAGGTCCACAGTCTCTTCCAAAACAGTTCCTCCACTTGATGTGATCTAGAGCTTTCTCCTTCAAATGAGAATATCCTCTTCTGTCCTCAAGGTCATCCAGCATCTTCTTATGTCTTCTGGTCACTTCTATCCGCCCCTGTATCTTTCCTTCAATAACTTCTTTTAGAAGGCAGTTTCTGCATAAAACATGACCAATCCAATTAGCCTTCTGTTTTCTTATTTCGTGTAAAAGTTATAAGATGATAATTTTTGTTATGTAATAAAAATGTTTTCACTTAAAATAAAAGATGGATATTTAGTAATTACAGATACAGATTATATTTCAACATGATATTCTAGTGTTGTACATACCATGGACTTTCTGTACTGTAAGTCAGAGTATGAGTTACTTCCTGGCTACTGTTCCAATCTTGCTCATCATTGTCAGGCCTTACATATACACAAATTACTGTTGTCACAAACGTATCACATATTGATATTTTGATAAAAGTACATAAATAATCCAGTTATAAGATTAAAGGTCAATTTAATTTAAAGTTATTATGTACTTTTTATCAAAGCTGCATATATATCTGAGATGTACGTGTATATGTGATGAGGATAGTTTGTGGATAAGTATATATAAAGCCCCATGATGTGCCTTTCATGGTTGAATCATGTAGCTGATGAGTAACTCATTGTTCCTGCCCTTATTAGTATATCATTTAATTTTTAAACATTTTGTTGAAATGTCTGAATGTTTTATTAGAAACTATAATAAACACACTTATAAATAGAACATTTAAAATAAATATTAAAACCACGTTATTTGGTAGTTATTTGTAGTTTATTGTGAAATGAGTTCTGTCTTCTGTGATATATCACCATCTAGCCCATTGAAACAGTGAACTACACAGTTTTTCCCAAATGATAATACTCTTCATGACCACTGCTGTGAGAACCTCAAATACTATATATTGTGGAACTGTTGACATTTAACAATTATTAGCCATTTAGTAGTATTGATGTTACCGTAATTTGGTAAGCAGATAGACTTGAACATAACTAAACATTCAGAAAGAAGATTTTCTTTACAGTAACCATTACATCACAATAGTTCAACACTTTTAGGTTATGTGTGACACACTGTGACTGGAAGCAGTAATAACAGAGATTATGCATAGAAATGGGTCTTTAAATATTATGATTGTTAAGTCATAGTTCTTGCCCCCTGCGCTATGCAATTTGAACATCCGAGCAACAATATATGTCATTAATTTTGAGGGGGGTACTTCTTGTTAAGGAATGAGCCTTTATCTTCATGTTGGGTGTAAAAATGTGTAGTCTACAAATGAGTTAATCATGAGCATTTGCTGGAATGAAACTTTAACTAAGTCAAAGAGCCAACTTATATATATAAATATATGATAAGAGTTCAATTTATTTAAATACTATACAAATATATGATACAGTATAAGTATGTCAGGCAATGGTATTAATGCCTCTATGCTATGATAAATTTCTATTTTAATAAAATACCGTTAGCGGGACATATATTGCAAATGAAAGCAGGATCTGTTAAGAATACAATGAAGTACGACCAAAATTGTGTTTAGACCGTTTAGACTACCAGCGTTAACGTTAAATCAGAGAATGCTGCAAAGAAGTGTATGCAAACCGAAAATTCTAGGTTTCAAATTTGCCGCCTCGCATGGAGCCAAGAATGTGAGTTTGTAATTTCCTTCTTTTGATGTTAAAGAACACATAGAAGAGCTTCTTGCAATAAATAATGTCTTAAATGTACGATTGTATTAAACTTCATATTCTTGTATAGAACGAAATTAACAGACGGTTTCACAATAATTTGATTCTTTCATTGTTCCTCGTACATCAATGGTTGCCGGATGTGAATTGGAATCGTCTACACCGCTTCCGTTGACGGTGACTGGGGGAAGGGCAGATGTTTTCCTAAATATTCGGAAGTGAGTGTCATTCTTAATTGACGTTTGACTTGAGACTTTCAGCCCCTACAGAGGCAGTTTAGTAAATTCGTTAATTTAATGTAGATGCATTATGCAGTTATGTTACAATACGCGAAGTTGACTGGTCGTAGTGACGTACAGGATGAGCTAATAACGTAGGCCTATGTGCAGACCGCTGTCTAGCTTGGTTTTCCAGAATACCCTTATGCTGCGAACTTGATTAATGATGTGGTCTGACTAGCAAATCAACTAAAAGTGAAATTCTTGTTATAATGTGGCAATAAATCCGCATCTTCCCCAGTGTGTGCTTGGTGTAAGCATGGCTGGCACAAAGAATACCGCTCATGTGGTACAGCTGAAGCCTGTGGAGGTACCCAAGTGTATGCAGGATGGGGAGAAGTTCATCAAGTGGGATGAGGTAATGTCAAGATTCGCCAAGCGTTTATGTTGCAGTTGTTGATTCATTATGCCAGTATTATGGTGGATATTGTCCATTGTATGAGGTATGTTAGATAAACGCGATATTTCGCAAATTGGCCGTTCTGCGTTTGGTGATCGGTTCTTATTCATTCATTCATTCTTATTATACCGACAGACTTTTAATTCAGTTTTTTTTTATTTTAACCATAGTGGCAAATCTTGGTGCCTTCACTTGCTGTAAATTAAACCTTAAAAAATAGCGAAAAGTATTATATGACAGCCTGAAGACGGGAGTAGAGTTGCCAGTCCTTTGTACATCAGTCAGTGGGCACTGGCCAGTATAATGTTATATATGATGTAAAAGAGCCGACCATTCGCATATTTGAACATGTACAGGTTAACATGAAGTTGTATTGAAACCACAGTGATTATGCTTGTAGGGCTGGCTTATCCAGCTTTTGCAGTTTTACTCATCCCCTACAGTTCTTTCATTTTGTGGAAACCAGCCATCAGCATGATAATTTCTTTTAGAGAATGACAATATCAGATTTACTGAGAATAAATCAAAACAAACATGCTATTTCATTCAGATATTGAAGCAAAGACTTGATTAAATGCCCAAAGTTTATTTATTTTACAAAGAGTACCAAATCTGTTGCAAAGCAGGTATAACATAGTTGGTATAGCGACTGACTATGGGCTTGGATGACCGAGGGGTCAGAGTTCGAGTCCTGGTATCATCAAGAATTTTCTCTTCTCCATGTCGTCCAGACTGGCTCTGGGGTCCACCCAACCTATCCAATGGGTACTGGCAGTTGTTTCTCTAGGAGTAAAGCAGATGGAGCATGAAGCTGACCAGTCAATTTCAGCCAGTGCCAAATTCAAGAAAATGTGGATCTATACATCCACTCCTCCATACGCCTCCATGGCATAGTGCTTAATGAACAGGGACAACTTTACCTTTTAGCTTTACCAACTTTGTTGCCCATGACGATCTTGGCTCAGGTGCAGGATATGGTTTGTGCCTCCCACCACAATATGCTGCAGGGAGGTTATTGCTCTCTCACTTTTCTTGATATGGATTGATTTTTTTTTAAGTTAGCACACTTTATAGAGGGACACAAATTTGGGTGTGCGTGATGTTGATTGATATTTATCAATGCATGCAGTAACAGCAGCAAAACACAACACAGAACACGATACACAAATGTACGTAGGAAGAATGCTCACATAAAAGAGGATTGGCATAATTCGCATGTTTGAGTGTGACGTAGAATGAATCCTGAAAAGTTTTATTATTTAGAATTCATCGACATATATGACGAATACAGATTTTAGTCATTTTAGAATGAAGACATCATGGCATGCAGTACAATAGTTTAACGTGCATAAAGACACCTGAGGATGGCACATTAGTGCTGAAACATGTAGTGTGGAAATGAATAAGGTGAAAAGGTGTATACACTGTAAGACGATTAGCATAAACCATGGACATGAATCAGTGTAACAGGACGCTAAAATATAACATTTTTAACAGATATTTATCAATGTGTAAATCCTTGAATCACTTCTAGTAATTCTTGTTCTTTAATAGGAAGAAGTGACTGTTCATAAGCCATAAAATGTATATTCTGTAGACATATAGGAAATGTGGTATGCTTGTTGCATTTATCATCCATTTCAGTGTTCATGATCGCAAACCATAGTCTGCAGTCATGTTTTACAAATTTTTCATTGATGGTTTGTTTCTGTTAAATGCAGTTTTAAATTAGTGGATAATTTAATTGTAGCATTGCTTGGAAACAGCAATTCTGTTTCTTGTTATAAATTTTTGTACAGTAAAATGAATAAAACTGTTCGAATGTTATCAAAGTGATGTGGTTCAGTGTAAGAACACTGGAAAATGCATGATTCTCAGAAGAGATTTCTATCGTAATATACCAAAATAAGAACAAGGAATGAGCCTTGTTACTCAGTATGTAATGAACATTTGAATAGTCATATTTATCTTGATGCCAGTTTTCCCTCAGTGATAGGGAAACTTAGCTACATAAAATTATAACAAAAAAGTAGTAAACAGAATTTTGGTAGGAGATTTAAATGCTGAAGTAGGTATGGGAGACATTTTCAAACCAACAGTTGGGAATGAGAGTTTGCACGAAATGTTCCACATTGTAACATTCATAAATTTACTTGGACATCTCCTGATGGAAAGACTCACAATCAGATTGACCATATTTTGATAGATGGGAGACTACATTCAAATATACTTGATGTTCGGTTGTTCAAGGCAGCAGATTGTGGTACTGACCACTACCTGGTGGTGGCAAGGGTTAGGGAAAGACTGGCAGTGGGCAAACAAACAACACACAGACTTCATATGGAGAGATTCAATCTCAAGAAATTAAATGAGATAGAGGGTAAAGAGCACTATCATATTGAAATCTCAAATAGGTTCACATCTTTGGAAAACTTGGATGTCGAGTTGGATATTAATAGAGCTTCGGAACTATTAGAGAGAATATAAAAATTTCAGCTAAAGAGAGTCTAAGTTATTATAAATTGAAGAAGCATATGCCGTGGTATGATGAAGGATGCTCACAGTTATTAGATCAAAGGAAACAAGCCAAATTGCAGTGGTTAAAAGATCCAAGTGAAATAAATGGGAATAGCCTGAACAATGTATGAGACGTGAAGCCAGCAGGAATTTCAGGAGTAAAAAGAGGGAATAAAGAGGGTTTACCAACCTAGAAGTAACTTAGTGGAGGATGAGATTGAATTTGGGTATTGCTTGTTGCCATAAGAACCTTCTGTCTTCCTGTCTGCTGTCTGAAAATATAAAAATATACAAAAGTATAATTTTGCCTCTGGTTCTGTATGCTTGTGAAGCTTGGTGTCTGACATTAAGGGAGGGACACAGATTGAGGGTGCTTGACAACTGGCTGCTGAGGAGAATATTTGGACCGAAGAGAGATGAAGAGATGGAAGATTGGAGAAAACTGCATAATGAGGAGCTTCATAACTTGTACTCATCTCCAAGTTTAGTTAGAATGATCGAGTCAAGGAGGATGAGATAGGTAGGGCATGTAGCATGATTTGGGGAGAAGAGGAATGCAAATAGAATATTGGTGCTAAAACCAGAAGGAAAGAGTCAGTAGGAAGACCAAGACATAGGTGGGTGTTTAATATTAAAATTTATCTTAGGAGATATGATAGGCTGTACCATAGTTCAAGCGGTTAGTCGCTGGCTTCCCATCACGGCTGCCCGTGTTCGAGCCTGGGTCAGGTCATGTGGGATTTGTGATGGACAAAGTTGCACTGAGGCAGGTTTTCTCCAGTACTTTGGTTTCCCCTGCCAATCTTCATTCCACCAGATGCTCCACAATCACCCTGATCCATCATCTGGGGCTGGTACAATAGGCCAGTGGTGACTGAAGTACCAAGTTGACTCAGTCTTACCCCAGTAATAATAATAATAACAATCACAACAATGATGATGATGATGATGATGATGATGATGATGATAATAATAATAATAATAATAATAAAAATAAATAGGTAGGGGTGGTATGGACTGGATAGATCTGGCTTTGTATAGGGACCAGTGGAGGGCTCTTGTGAACATGGTAATGAACCTTAGGGTTCCATAAAACGTTGGGAAGTTCTTGAGTAGCTGCACAATTGGCGGCTTCTCAAAAAGTGCTCAGCTCGATGAAGTTAGTTAGCTACATAAAATTATCAGTATAAAATTCATGAGATGGAGCATTCAGTGGAGTAAAGAACTAAAGACAACTTGAATTGTTTGATAGTAATTTGCATTTTAAAGCATTATAGTCTGAATATAACAATATATTTTGTATGTTCAGTTATATGTAGAGAAAACTGACAGTAGAGTCATGAATTGTAATGATCTTGTATGACCAACACATGAAAGAAGAAGTTGCCAAAAGAAAATTAAGTTTGGTTGAACTTAACCTGGTCCTAACAAATAACAAGTAGCATGATAAGTTTTGAGCTTTTTGTGTCGGTGATTGTTCACATTGTGATGTTCTGGGTTGTGACATCTCCACTCCTCTGACTTCGAAGCAGAAGATGGAGGTAACATGTTTCTCCAGAACGGTATCTCCCAACAAGATTATGTGATGTCACGGTCCAGAAAGCCACATTCTGAAAGTAACATACCGAAATGTCCTAATGCAAGAAAAATATGACAACAGTAAGAAACTTTGAGGATATGTCTTTCAAATGTAACATGGTCAGAATGTGTCCTGGTGGAAATTATACACAGAAATGCATCACTAAATAGTATAGTTCTAGGTATTTCCTGCTAGCTTCACCTTATCATCTTGAGTTATACGTTTGTTCTAGAACATTTTGTCTTAACTTTGTGTTATAAGCATGGTTGCCATAATACGAGTAGGTATTTTTCGGGTTAAGATTCTTTAAGTATATTGTGTGATATTTGTAGTATAAACTTTATTTTCTTAGCCTGTAAACTGTGCTGTACTAAATTAGAGATTATGGAGCTTCAAATAAGAAATGAGAGGATGTTTATACATGATGAGTTAGAATATGGCTCTGACTTATTTCAAGCTTGTGTATTTAGAAGGAAGGACTGGGGAAACAAATTAAAGTCCAGTTAAGGTGTGCAGTTCGAATTGGAAGCTCAGAGCATAAAGCAGGAGGTCTGTTTGACTGTATGGGGGTATAATTGCTTTGAGAAGTTCCAAAGGAATACACAGACAGCTGGTATTCCAAAATCCTAGTTTTACTTGCTTCAGATGACAGAAATTTCCTGTTATACTAGAGATTTTTATTTTGATACATTCTGTTATGGGTATGAGAATTGAAACCACTTGTTGTAATAAGTGAATTTTAATTCCATTAAACGTTTCTTTTTACTGCCTCTGTGGTCTAGTGGTCAGAGTTCCTGGCTACAGATCCAGAGGTCCGGGTTCGATTTTCTGAGAAGTAGTGGGTCTGGAACGGGGTCCACTC